GTCCTGGTCAGCCCTGAATAAAATAAAATATATTTAAAATAAAATAAAATAAATAAAATAAATAAAATAAATAAATAAAATAGATACATTTAATAAATAAATAAATAAATGTAACATATTATTAAAATTAATTTAAAATAAATTTTGAAAAGGAAATCAATTTAAAAACTTTTTTAAAAGTGTAATCACGGCCCTTTCTCTCCTCCGCCTGCAGGATTCGGTCCTGGTGAGCCCTGAGAACCCCCCGGAGCAGAAGATCTGCACGGGGGACTGGTTCTACGAGGTGAAGCACTTTGAGGACTGTGACGTGGCCGTGAGCTACCCGGTGGCCCGGAGTTGCACCTGCGCCTCCTGCAACACGCTGAGCACCGACTGTGGACGCGTCCAGAGGGACGTCTGCTGACCCTAAACCCCGTTTGACCAAAAACCAGATCATCTCTGAGTCTCTCAGGGTGGAACTCAAATAAAAAGGTGTTGCTTGCTAGTTTTTGGTGTTTTTATTAGGATCTTTGGTACAGTTTGGTGTGCTTTCCTGTATCTTTCTCAAGGCAGATTTCTCAGTTTAGGGTTTGACATTTTAAAAAGAAAAACTCTGACAAAGCACTTCATAGTTGAATAAAGCTACAGATGAAAATAAATATATAAAAAGACAAGAAACACGACTAAATCGAAATTATGGCAGATTATCTCTGAGTCTTTCAGTGTGGAACTCAAATAAAAAGGTGTTGCTTGCTAGTTTTTTGTGTTTTTGTTTGGATCTCTGGTACAGTTTAGTGTGCTTTCCTGTATCTTTCTCAAGGCAGATTTCTCAGAATTTCTCCAAAGAATTTTGGTTTTGTGTAGAAGTTCAACAACTGAAAAAAAAAGTTTAAAAAAAGGAAAAAAGAACATGTTTACTGGTGTGTAATATTTACCTAGCTCCATTTTTGTAGATTTATTATGCTTGGTTCGAGCATCTTTAAAAAGAAAAATTCTAATAAAGCACTTCATAGTTGAATAAAGCTACAGATGAAAATAAATATATAAAAAGACAAGAAACACGACCAAATCGAAATTGTGGCAGATTATCTCTGAGTCTTTCAGTGTGGAACTCAAATAAAAAGGTGTTGCTTGCTAGTTTTTGGTATTTTTATTGGGATCTCTGGTACAGTTTAATGTGCCTTCTTGTATCTTTCTCAGTTTAGGGTTCGAGCATCTTTAAAAAGAAAAATTCAAATAAAGCACTTCATAGTTGAATAAAGCTACAGATGAAAATAAATATATAAAAAGACAAGAAACACGACTAAATCGAAATTATGGCAGATTATCTCTGAGTCTTTCAGTGTGCAACTCAAATAAAAAGGTGTTGCTTGCAAGTTTTTTTGTTTTTCTTGGGATTTCTGGTACAGTTTAGTGGGCCTTCTTGTATCTTTGTCAAGGCAGATTTCTCAGTTTAGGGTTTGACATTTTAAAAAGAAAAATTCTGATAAAACACTTCATAGTTGAATAAAGCTACAGATGAAAATAAATATATAAAAAGACAAGAAACACGACTAAATCGAAATTATGGCAGATTATCTCTGAGTCTTTCAGTGTGGAACTCAAATAAAAAGGTGTTGCTTGCTAGTTTTTTGTGTTTTCATTGGGATCTTTAGTACAGTTTAGTGTGCCTTCTTGTATCTTTCTCAAGGCAGATTTCTCAGAATTTCTCCAAAGAATTTTGTTTTTGTGTAGAAGTTCAACAAAAAAAAAAAAAAAAAAAAGTTTAAAAAAAGGAAAAAAGAACATGTTTACTGTTGTGTAATATTTACCTGGCTCCATTTTTGTAGATTTATTATGCTTGGTTCAAGCATTTTAAAAAGAAAAATCCTGATAAAGCACTTCATAGTTGATAAAAGCTACAGATGAAAATAAATATTTAAAAATACAAGAAATAGGACTAAACCGAAATTATGGCAGATTATTTGTTGCCAAGAGGTCAGTCTGGAGGGAACAATTGTGAAATAAATATATAAAATAAATACATAAAAACACAAGAAATAGGACTAAATCGAAATTATGGCAGATTATTTGTTGCAAAGAGGTCAGTCTGGAGGAAACAATTGTGGAATTGTTGCTTTAATCATGAAAATAATTTTATATTTGACCCATAACCCCAAAGTTTTGGTAATTTCTTTTGAAACAATTAAATCTTCTTCCTCAATAATGGATAGTATTTCAGACCTTCCCTCTCTTTAGATGTTTCCTCTGTCAAAAAAAACCTGTTAAATCATAATTAACTGCGTGACCTTTCAGTTATAAAATCGCCCAACAAATTTAGTGTGTGCCCAACAAAATGTCCCTCAACTAGCGTCCGTTTCATGGCCAGATTTGGCTTTGTTCTCATCTCTACATGTCTGATGTCCGGCTGGTTTTTATGTCCCACAGTTTCAGGGCAGCTTCTATAAACTCTTCATCACCTGATTGTTCTTCACTCAAAACATCAAGGAAGAGATGGCCTCAGCCATCTGAAAGGATTAGATCTGTCTGATTATTTTCTGTTTAAAACTCTAGCCCTTTAAAGCCTGATCCAAGAATTAAAAAAAACAGAAAATTACTTTTTTTTCGGTTTGAATTCCTTATTTGGCCTTTAACAAAATATGTAAAAAGATAAAACAGAAATACATTTTTTATATTAATAATTTATTACTATGCGATAAGTCAAGAGGTTATCAGGTGTATCTGATTGTGTACAATAGGATTTTGAGCAAAGTTTTTACTATTAAATTGAGCAAAAGGAGTCAGACGCATAACATTTCAGAAACTGTATCAGATATGATACATTTGGCATTACAGGG